ATTTATTTAATATTATTTTTGCTACATATAATTGTTGCTCCTATGACTCCTAAAGTTGATGTTAAATAAAGTTTCTCAAGGTATAAAAACAACACTTGCTGGTAACCGTCAGTTTTTTATTTAAATATATTAAAAAACATCTGTTTGTCCTGTGCTATGATGAAATACCTACAAATTATAACAATGCACCTACTTATTTAAATTTCTTTTTAAATTTGTATGACATTTTTCTTGTTTTTAGAGCATTTATATCTAGGTCCTAAGCATAAGTTCTAGATAAATGATTAACCATATTTTATCTAATGAACTAATGTTATCATGAATCTATCTAGATTTAATGATTCAATTTTGTACTAAATCAAATTTGTCTTACCAATCATTAGCCAAGGATCATCCTTTAAAACTGGTGCTAAGTATTTATCATCTTTCCATGGCTCAGGGTCAACTTCAAACAGCATACTAGGATTAAAATTTTCATCTTCTTGTATCCGAGTTCTTGTGTAGTTGATGCATTTTATATACGAATAAAAATCCATGGAATACTTACGTTTTGCCAATGATAAATCAAAATTATGGTCCTTAGCACAGTGAACCATAGCTTCTGCTACATCATCATATAACAGTTCACAGAACAGACATTTTACAGTACCTGGTCCACTTTCCACCCAGTCACCGAAACTGTGATCAGAATCAGAATCTACAGACATCTAAAAATAATTCGTAAAATTTGGTATGTATACTATTGAAAATGAAAATTTGAGTACAATAATGCAGCTGATGAGTAAAACATTCATCATTTATAACTTAAAACTACTGGTTAGTTATAGTTTGGTTKGATTTAACTTACGTCAGTTAGGTCATCGGTGATAAATCTAGACAGTAGAAAGCAGATGGGGATATTATTTCAAATCCTCAACTACCGAACTCGAAACAAAATTCTCAAACACTTCAAAAGTTCAAACACAAAATTCAAAAGTTAAAAAAAAACATGTTTTTATCGGATAACAAACCTAACCTTGATTAAGTGGTAGAGTGGTGATAACGGACAACCGTAATAAGATAAGACAAAGTCATGGACCCGAGTTGAAGTTTAAAGTGGTTGTGGTTGTATTTGTATACTCTAGTGGTAGTACAGAACGTTGTCTACGTTTGGTATGATATTCAGTATTTCGACTATGCATTATTACCACAGTGGCAAAGGCCAAAGACCATTACTCTATGACAATGAAATAGATCCATTTAGATAATATAATATATAGTCAATAGTGAATAGTCATATAGATCTAGTAAAGTTAGTTATGGCCACAGAAATAAATAATTAACGAAGACGCCACACCCGCAACGCCGCAAGTGTTGTCTCCGTCTTAAAAACGCATAACATAGCAAAATCTGTTTAGCGTGGGACAACTGTTCTCCCTCAATATTTATAATAGAATTTTTAAAATTTCACAACGCATAGGTAAGAACTTTATCTGTGTCATAACTCATAGCGTCGTTATTTTTTTTGATAGCACAAACCTGGTGTACTTCAACAATTTTGATAACACTGAGCACTGTTATCACTAGTTAGCAATCTAGTTTATTATCTATACCGTGGTCATGGCACAGACAGTATGAAATATAAATATTTATACCTAAAATTATATATTATATATAAATATATTATACCTATTAGGGCATAGGGGTGATATTTACAATAATTAATACAATTTACTACTCACTGAGTACTCAGTCGACACTCGGGACTCGGTGTTTCAAATGATTCAATAGATTAACTGTCGTTTGTATCTGTCATCGGTTTTTACTAAACATTAATCAATTACTTAATATTTTTCTAACAAAACGAGTGCGCTATATACGCTATGATAACAAGTTATGTTTATGGCAATATGTAATTAGTTGACATCGTTCGTGCTTGTGTTGTCGTATAATATATCCTTATTTGGACGACCTGTTAAGAAATAAGAATACTTTTGTGGTGATACGTACTTTAGTACATATTCATTAATCATCATTGAAAATCACATGGCGAAATACTTCAACAGACATTTCCTTAAAACATTAGCGTTGTCCACAGGTGTTGGTGCCGTTAGTGGTTACGCAGTGTACTCGTTTCTTGAATTAAACGACACCGAAGCCCTGGTAAAGAATGAAATAGAACAGAGGTACTACAAAATATTCGAGAACAAAGAAACAAAATGGGATTCTAACTGGGACAAGTAAGTGTGTCTAACTGCTTATGTTGTTCTGTGCAGACGGTTTTGTGTCTTAATATTCATACAATAATATTTTTATATCTTCTTGTGTGTTCATTGTGAACAACATCTTTCGCTTTACCTAAATATCCAATATAATATTAATGTTCTACTGTGACAGGAATATGTTTTTAACGTTTTTTTTCAGATGTTAACTCGAGCTCGTTAAAATATTTAGTATTCCTGGCCGCCAGTCTTGTTCATATATAAAATATTATACGGCTACCATTATTACACTGCCACAAAATGGAAACATCAAAAAAACGATCTAGCCACCAGCCATCGGCTAAAACGAAGAAAGAAAACATCCAAGTCATTGTCAGATGTAGACCAATGAGTTCTAAAGAAGTGTCTAATGGGTATACAGAAGTTGTTAAAATATCCAAAGAAGAAAATTCTGTCGCTGTCTCGGTTCCTAAAAATGATGGTTCTGAATTTAAACAGTTTACATTTGATGCTGTTTTTGATTGGAATTCCACTCAGGAAGAGCTGTACAAAAAAATGGTCCATCCACTCATTGAATCTATTTTGAATGGATTTAACGCTACTATTTTTGCTTATGGACAGACCGGAACTGGTAAAACATTTACAATGGAAGGAATCCGAGATGAAAAACTACCTTTATCTGAACAAGAAAATCGTGGAATTATACCTAGAACTTTTGAACAGATTTTCCAAACCATTGAACAGTCAAATAATAAACAATATTTAGTATTTTCTTCATACTTGGAAATATATCAGGAAGAAATTCATGATTTGTTAGAATCAAAATCTAAAGGAAAGTGTGACCTTCGTGAAGATAAAGATGTTGGTGTTTATGTTAATAATTTAAACAAATATATTTGCAAAAATGTCCAAGAAATTTTAAAAGTCATGCAAGAAGGTAACAAAAACCGAACAATTGGTGCTACTGACATGAATGAACATAGTTCTAGGAGTCATGCTATTTTTACGGTTACTGTAGAAATAAAAAGTTCTACTGAACGTATTAGGGTTGGAAAATTGAATCTCGTTGATTTAGCAGGTAGTGAACGACAGAGTAAGAGTGGAGCTACCGGTCAAAGGCTCAAAGAAGCTGGGAAAATAAATCTTTCACTATCTACTTTAGGAAATGTTATACACGCACTTATAGAAGAAAATTCCTCGCATATACCATACAGAGATTCCAAACTCACTCGATTATTACAAGATTCATTGGGAGGTAATTCTAAAACATTGATGATTGCTAATATTGGTCCAGCCAGTTATAACTGGGATGAAACACTCACAACTTTACGCTATGCTAATAGAGCAAAAAATATTCACAATGCACCACGTGTTAACGAAGATCCGAAGGATGCTTTGATTAGACAATATCAGGATGAAATATCAAAGCTACGCAACATTTTAAATGAAAAATCATCTAAAAAAGTTACTACTAAAAAAGGAAAGCAGGAAGAAAAAAATTACGATGTAGAAAATCTTCAAGAACATACAAAATTTTTAGAAAAACAACAGCAAGATTTAAATGAAAAACGTAACAATATTTTGGAAAATAAAGACAATTTATCAACAGACGATCAAAATAGAATGTTGTATGACATAGAATTAGAAAAGGCTAAAGTAGCTGAAGAAATGGATTTTATGGCTTCATTAATTACTCGTATTCAATCCATGGAGAGCAGTTTGTTGAGAGGAGGAAAGTCTATTACAGATCATTTATATGAACAGCAAAGTCAAATTGATAAACGTAATAAAGAAATTCAAGAAGAAATAAAAATGGAACAGGAGCTAGCCAAAAATTTAGAAGAAATTGCTGGTTATACTGAGTCAATTAGGGAAACCTATTCAACATTGCTAGAAGAAGTAGAATCCAAACAAGCTAAATTTGACAAATTAATGCTTCTTTATCAAAGTCTCAAAGGAGAATTAAAAGTTAAAGAGGATGAATATTCAAATCAACGAAGAGACATTGAGTCTAATCAAGAAGCAATGACTCGTCAATTAAAACTTGGTAATATAATTATGTCAAATTTTATACCCCAAGATGAACTTCAAAGTGTTAAGGATAGATTGTATTATGATGATGATACCAATGAGTGGCGTATGGTTAGTAATCAATTAGAAGGTCATACACGTGGCTGCATTAATGGTGTGATTAATACAAGAAGGAATGAAAATTTAATAACACTAAATTTACTTAYACTTGAACATAAATTAGAAGAGTACAAGAAACCAGAAATTTCACCTTCATTATTATCAATGCTTGATGAAGCATTAAAAGTTGAGGATGATCTGCAGGTTGATGCATCGATTGCAGAACGGCCAAAAAGTATGCGAAGTGCTGTTGGGCCAAAGATTAAACCCGCTTCAAATAAAAACTATCCAAGAGCAAGAGGCTTAATACCAAAATAAAATGTTTTCTTGACGCTCGAATTTGTGCACCAATTAAATATGTTGTTATTTTAATAATATTTAAATACTAACAACTACTATCAAATAAGACTGCATTGTTAAATTTATATTTTGCTCACTGATACTGTGTAATAAGTACCTAACACATATAGGTATATTTATTTATTTATGTTTTGCTTTTGTATGTTCTTTAACATTCCTAGTCACTAAAAGAAAAATTAATTTTATTTTGTTTCCTATTTTTTAATATTAATATTTTGCTTTATAGTCTCAATTGTTTTTTTAATTTCGTCTTGCAAAATAAATCCTAATCAAAACTAACATAGTCATATTGTCTAGTCTTTTAGCACAATGAATGACACTAATAAATTATATTTCATGCTATATATTTCTTTTTGTTGTTTATTTATTCTTAACCTTTTCTTTTGTCACATGTAAATATGTTTGTCAACATATACATTTTCCAGGCGACAACCTAAGAGCCTAGTAAAACCAATTGAATCAAATAAATCAGAATTTCAAGATAAGTATGATAAGAAAATTGAAAGCCAAAAGTCTCATGCAGCAAGGCACATTTTTCTTATTAGACATGGGCAGTACAATTTATCTGGCGAGACTGATGGAGAAAGAAAATTGACTGAACTAGGTATGTTTCTAATATATCTATGAGTAATAACAGACGTTCGTACCCCTAAGATAACGATGGGAAATGAACATTCGTTAAAAACATAACATTTTATATTATGTACTAGTAACTTGATAAAATTATTTGTTTCAATTGAAAAATTTGACTTGCTATGTGATGATGAAATATACTAAATAAAGATACTTATATATCTAATCTCAAGTGTAAAAAATATTTTTAATTTTATAAATAAAAAAACAAATATTATAATTGCCTGCCTTTTGATTAGTACTAAATCAATAATTATTGTACAAAATTGATGATGTTACATTATGATTATGTTCTTAAAACATACACACTTATAAATATGTTTATAAGCATTTAAATAACAATATTTTTATATTTCATTTATTTATTATCTTCTAATAGACTATTTACTTATTTTTTCTAAATTAATTTGCCTATTATTAAAAAAAAAATTCCATTACAGGGAGACAACAAGCTCTGTTCACCGGTGAGCGATTAAGTGTATTGAATTATCCATGGACAACGATTACTCAATCAACATTGACTCGAGCAATGGAAACTTGTTCAATAATCCAAAAACAATTGCCTGCAAATATACCCCTGACATCATCTGATTTGTTAATTGAAGGCGCACCAATACAACCTGATCCGCCTAGCAAACACTGGAAGCCTGAGTTATATGTGAATTGAAATTAAATAAATACCTATTTACTTCTTAAATAATAAACCATAACTTATTCTGATTTTTAGCAGTTTTATAGAGATGGAGCTCGTATAGAAGCTGCTTTTCGAAAGTTTATTCATAGAGCTCCGCCTGAACAAAAAGAAGATTCTTATGAATTAATAGTTTGTCATGCAAATGTTATAAGATATTTTGTTATGAGGTAACTATAATATTTATTTGTCATATTAAATATCCAAAAATGTGAAAACACATGTATAACCACAACCATAACAAAAGCTTATTATTTTGTTTTAGAGATAATTTTTCTGTCACTTAAAACATATTTAGTATGCTCTTGTCTTAATTTAATTATTGTATTGCAGATCATTGCAGTTAACTCCAGAGGCATGGTTACGTTTGAGTCTAGATCATGCAAGTATTACGTGGCTTTCTATTTATCCCAATGGAAGAGTAGCCTTACGATGCTACAGTAATTCAGGGTACATGCCACCAGAAGCTATTACTCATTAAATATTAAACATAATTTATAAATTTATCATCAAATTAATTAAAAGTACTGAAACCTTATACTTATTTTAATCATTATCTATTTAAGTCAAGCACAAAACAATTTTTTTCATGCCTATATTGAAAGTTTAATCAGTGATGCCAGTTGAAGCATTAGGAAATAACCTTTTTCTGTCAGGTGACTAGGAAAATATGTTTTGTGAAAATTGGAAATTTGTCTGGAAAAATCTAAATCTGATTAATTAAAGATATGAAACGCTTTTGTTATCAAATACTAGTTGGTTGGTGGTTTACTAGTGTTGTTCTATGCAACAAATGCAACTCTAAATCTAAATCTAAATCTAATTCTTTATTAAAAATATAAAGGTATAAAAATAAATTCTCATTCGTGAAGATGATAAAATCAAKATTAATAAACAATAATTTTTTCCATGTTTCATGTATCATGTTAATTCTGTTGAAATGTTTAGGCATTTCCAATGAGGCAATGAAGTTAGATTTATTCTTATCTACATGTTTTTTTGTTAAAATTAGAATTTGAAACTGATTTTGGACATTTTAGTTAAAATAAACCATATCTTCTATAATCATATACTGTAATATTTTATAAATAAGTAATAGCTAAATTGATTGAAACATTAAAAATTATATATTATAATATGTAATTAATGTTGATACATTGAAAGAAATACCAGTAAATTATTCCAATTGACTGCTTAAGTCTACCAGTATACACACCTATAGTTCAAACTTTTAAAGTAAGTATAATTATACCTTTTGAAATGTTGTCAGTGTGTAGTAATATGTTTGATTGCATAATAAAGGGGTTGTGAGTGGCAAAGTAACACACAGTTTAAAAAAATATATTTATTAACTAGGGGTGCAATTTTTTTTCATTAAAGGTAAAATAGGTAGTAAAAAATTAAGTGATCAAAAAACTTTCAAGTAAAAGATGAAACTGTATGGTACATAAAAAGTTTTTATTTAAACATTCACCAAAAATTTTATATATTTATCGTAATTTTTTCATTTATATCAAAAACCAAAATCAATTTCAACGAAAAATAAATTTATTTGATACTTCCCAGATTTTCATAATATTTTTCCCTGACTTGAAAATTACGGTTTTTTAAATTTGACCTCCCAAATGCACTAACTAGATTCATTTTCCCACCAAAAAGTTACTGAAATATATTATATTAGTGATTAGTGGTTGTAACCTCACACTCATCTCCCTACAAAATATAATACAATATCCAACAAGGCCATAGTGCTAAAATCAAAATTAAAATATTTTGAAATAATAGGATGTCAGCACTATATTTCATATTCTTTYAAGTCTGGCCTTTAAATATGCAACATAATTAAGTTTAGCTGTTTATTTTGTTTTGTTATTTGCTATTTTAGAGTTAATTGACCTATTTTCAAATGTAGAGTTAAAGACATTTTTTTTTTTGGTATATTTTTATGAAATTTTGATATTTCTTTGATTTTATTAGCAGTTTTAAAATTGTAATATAAACAATTACCTGTCTCCACCTTCTTAGACCCCTACTTAAAATATAAAATGAATATTAACACCTAACTACTAATTTACCAGTCCTTACTCAGGCCACTATGGACTTACGGCATTCAATTATGAGGTGATTCTACACCTTCTAACACCCGTACAATCCAAGCCTTTCCAATGCCTTTGCCTAGTTTCATCTGCACCTTGGTACTTAACCAACAACAATCTCCATAAAGATCTTAAAATCCAAAATATTAACCTAATCTCTAAATTAACAACGAACGCACTCCCTAGTGACCCGCGCGGCCGTGTCGTAGACTTGAAAGGCAATGATATAGATATCTTATTCTTCTGTAAGGGAACTGAATAAGTGCTGGATGTTGTTGCCAGGGAACACATTTAAAAATTATCATTGTTATTACTGTCACTTTATAGGGTGTTACCACTAGCTGAGTATYCTCCCTAATCACATGATTCATGTTATTTACTTTTATTTTTCACTTATCAAACCTACTCATTGTAATAATATGTATAAATTGTAGATTTATTTCAATATAAAAAAGAAGAACAATGRGTCAATGAACAAACAAAAACAATGATTTTAACTACAAATTGGATAATAGGTAAATTTGCCCCTAATATTAAAACATGGTTTAAAACACAAGATTAATTTTGTTGAATGAAAATTTTTCATTTACACGTGGATGGCATGATTAAGAAAAAGAAAATAAATAACCACAATATGTTTGATTTACAGCAGCTGTGGTTCAAGTAGGTTAGGTTTTATAAAACCAATGTATTGATGAATAAAAGTTTGGCAATTTATGATTTGTTATAAAGTTTTCAGTTATTACTTTATCTAGAGCGATATAATATATCTATGATAATAATTATGTAAAATTATTTTTATAAACATTTTTTTTTTTTTTTGATCAACGGCGCTTTGGATAGGCAATTTTGAGGCATTCATAGAAATGAATGATTCAAAATATATACGATATCCACTCGTAGTGTAACAGGGTGACGTTAAGTGATAATTAAACTCAAACTCAAACTATTATTTTAAGTATAGTTAATTTAATCATAGAAAAAACGTATGGTTATGTAGGTATTTAAATTTTTTGTATTAGAGTAGACCAATTTCAGATTGGTGGAAAAATATCTGAAATCTGAATAGTATACAATTACAATATTATATAAAGATGGGTACTATAAAAGTAATACGTTCAACTTTGTGTTGCTGTGTTTATTTGACTGGTTTGAAAATCCTTGTGCATGTAACTTGATCAGCGGTCAACGTCTGAAATAATTCAAATCAAATATATATTAGCACAATAACTCATAATTTACAATATGTATCACATAAACATATAATAGGTTTTTTTTTATGATGATTACAATTTTGTTATTGTTAATATACTAGTAATAAATACTACTACTATATAACTAGAAATTCTTAAGGTATTTTCCTTTTATATCTAAGATTTGAAAATTTGATACAAGGCTCCTAACATATTTTTACAGCAGTAGTTGAAAAATAAAAGAAATACATAGTCACAATTTTTTTTACAATCATTCAAAGTTTGAATTATGAACAACATACGTAAAGGAGTGTTCATTTTATAAGATGTTTTAATTATTATAATTATTACCATTTTCATTTGATCGGGTTCAAATTCTCTGATTATCGTTGTCTCTTTCCTGTCGCCACATCTTTTTTGGATGTGCACCAACTTGTTGCCTTCTTGGGTGATGATCGACCTCACTTTATGGGCGTCTAATGTCTCTTCGTCAAATTCTTCGCCAAGGTTGAACTCGATCAACGTATTTCTGATCATCGTGTTGCACGTCAACACGTATTTACCGTCCTGTTTTTTGGTGAGTTCCACCACCGGGGACATGACCTTGGCCATCGAGCGCATCACTGATATGACGCCTACAGAAAACCCATACCAGTAGAATCATTTACCAAAATACAATACATAGATACTAATATTACAATAGATACTTATTATAACTTAAATGTTGACAGACGACTACTAAATTCGACTCATACTTAAAATTCAAACTTTCTATAAATTTTTAACAACTGAAGAATTTATAAATTTTCAAATAATTAAATTTTGTCAAAATGTAAACTTTAAGTGGTTATAAAAAAAACGAGCCTATGTATTTTTAATATTTTCCACCTGCTATTATGTTAATTTATGGGGAATCTTGTATTTTTTTGACCCAACGTATCATATATAGAAAATGCCAGTATAAACATTCAGTAAAAATGTCATGTGTCCACGGTAATTTATTTTAGAGTTACACCAATATCTAAAATCGATTTTCTCAAAAATGGCTGACCTCATTTTTAGGGTCATTGAATATTAATCTTAAATCCAAATAGCTATAGTCGAATACGTTGTTCGCTGGCATGTTAAAAYATCCAAAACGTATTCAATAATTAATTGACAACGTTAGACGAAGGCCCTCTTATTTATATCAATAAAATAAAATATATCGAATTCAAATAATTATGAATTTATATATTTGCTGTATTAATGTTGACTATTGAGGCATGTGCCTGTCTGTCATAAAATATGATATCTTGTGCAAGGTGTATAATTTGTATCTTATGTCTTACAAATATACAATATGATGTATATAGATTATCATATTGAACTGCCATATGAATATAAAACATATTTATTCAACTTAAAATCGGCATATTACAATAAAATTATATATTACTAGCTGAACCCGTGCACTTCGTAGCCCGTTAAAAATCATATCTCTTTTATGGTCTTTAGTTCATATTGTGTGTTAAATTCATTTCATGTGATGATGCTAGCAGTATATTTTTTATACATAATGATAGATAGTGGTTATAATATATTATAATCTTACAACGATATTCAATTTCGTATATCATTATGTAATTTTCTTTGTTTTTTCAATATAATGTTGACAATTTAAATATTCAATTCAATGATATTTAGGCATAACACTTTCTAACTTAACATTATCTTCTGCCCATATTATGTCTAATAAAATTCTGTACCAAATTTTGTCGGAATCGGTCCAGCTGTTTAAGAATGTATWTAGGACTAACAGATAAATATATATAACCATCACTAATAACACAGAACAATAATAACCGTCACTAAAGCAACCATTTATATATAAACAAAAATGTCCATCCTAAAAATAAGTCCAGCTGCTCTCGAGAGCACTTGTTTGTTTAAATGGTTGCCTTTGACTACCAAAAAATATTAATATTATTTATTTTATTTTTTACTGGGCAAATGGCGCCACTTTAATTTCATCACACCCTCTACCCTCATCATATTTTTCTAACCCGATAACTTTCTCAATTTTTTCATCTGTAAGAACCTTCTCCTGGCAATTATGACCCAAACAAAAAAAAAGTGAGCGAAATCGGTTCAGACGTTCTCAATTGATGAATTGTTATACATTTTTGTCTCCATTTTTATATATAGGTATAGATTGTTATTATATTATGTCTATATCGTTCTTTATTAGGTACCTACCTCATTTATCATTAGTAATTTTATGATGTAGATCGCTAAGCGTAGTACATATAGTTTATGATATACGATATAATTATCGTAAGCTATAAATTATAAATTATTACAATTTGTTTATTGCTTTTAGTACCTATTATATTATATACCTTTGTTGGCTTTGTGTTATAATATTTATTAATTGTATATCGTATTTTCATCAATACTTAAAAGGCTCAACACACGATAAATTAAATAGGTATGCCAGCAATATAACATTATAACTACGGTTTTGAGACGAATCGTGCATTCACCCAGCGACGAGAGAATTTTGCTCGTTGGTACGCCACTGAGCTTTTGACGAATGTTTACGTCACAGAAATGTGTATCACGAAGTTGCTGACATACCTATTTAAAATATATTATTTTGATCTTGCTGACACGTACAATAATATTATGCTGTTGTTTTTGGAGTTGTTCGGTGCGTATAAGTACGGACACGGACGTGGACGAGCGACGTGATTATGGTCGAAGAAATGCTTATTATAATTATTTATTAACAATATTAAACAGAAGTAAGTAACTWTTTTTTTTTTACTATACCGACGAATGACCTATAATCTATATACTCGAGAATATCGGTGAACGTTGTACGGCGCTAACAACATAAATTCATACAAACCTAGCTTAATCCAAATATAACTTGTTATTTGAACGTAAGACGTATTTATTGTTGGACGTAATGCATCTATAGTATAATATTATATATATTATTTATATTATATATAATATCATAACTACGCCAAGTCTGTAATGTTGAAATATTTATTTACAGCTAGGTAGCAATCATTTTCGTTCCGATTCGCGATCAATATATTATTATGTAGCAATATATTGTACTCGAGAGCCAAGTCTAATGTATCAACTATTGTTGTACCTAATTAAACTTATGTCAACATACGTTTACCTATTTATTTTTAAACGATTTAGTAATTAATATATAGTGAATACTGAATACTAAACAGTAAATTGTACTAAATCGGATTACACACAGGTCCAACGTTAACATTTTTATCATAATAACATTTATATTATGATATTATGGATGTTAACTTAACAATTATAATTATAATTATAATTACAATTATAATTGTATAATGCTTAACAATTATTGTTAAGCATAATTATACAACAAACCTACCGATAAATAAATATTTATTTTATTAACGTAAAAATACTAAATAATTATACTGCATAAACCATGTTTAATATTTACATATTTTCTTTTATCACAATAATTGTGTACCTACGCGATTTAAGACTAGATTAATACAGTATAATATATTATTATGATGTACTATAAAAAGTCTAAAAATCTATGGTGGAGCTCTGACTCTATGAATAAAAATTATCGGTATGTTAGGTTTTCCACTTTAGGCAAGTGAGAAAATTATAATCTGTCTACTCTATCGACTGTAAAAGACCGCTTATTAGCGCATTTTCGTGAAAAGTATCATGTAGGTATTAATATCCTAAAATAAAATTTAAATTAAAAAGAGACCCTTTGCATAATTCTATGGCCTCAAAATATCTCCGAACGGGCCTGATATCAATAATTAATTAATGTCTCAACATAATACTTACTTATTTCATTTTGTTAATATGATACATTTGTAGTGAAATGTGAAAACGACAATTAATAAATATCAATCTTTATTTGATATGGTCTTGATAATTGATTGATACATAAATTCTTTGTTTCAATGGTATTTTGAAGTTTTACTCGATTACTTATAGAATATTATTTTATCACTTATAATAATCAAACAAACCATGTTTATCGAACTTCTTTAAATTTACAATGTCCAAAAATGGGTAATCCCATGTTGTTAAATTAAATATTAATTGTTTTCGATCGATTATTGTGTATCTAAATAACTAATTTCCTATTTGTTTAAATGTAAAAATTCTGTATTATATTAACATAATACAATAAATATTGGTAGGTGTATTATATTTATGATAAATATATTATAGTTTGTCAACTTACCCAGAGCTTTACAGTATTCGTCAAAATTATCGCTGGATTCTAGCTTGAACTTTTTATTGAAAATTAAAGACATTCTTAACTATTTGGTTCTATTGACTCTTGACTGCAGTATAATATAAAACTTGTTTGATTTTTCTTTCCGGTGGTCAGATGATCACTATTCACTGCATACGCATGTAAAGGTATCGCGTGAATTTATATAGTCTATAGCTCATATGCACTTGATGTTCGATATTTCATGTCTAATCGGGGATTTTATGTGTTCAGTAAAGGAATCGGAATAATATTATTTAGCAATATATTATATGTATTTTACGATTATCTTTTTTTTTTCAATAACGTATTTATTGATAAAATATCAATAACGTGATTACATAAATGAATACCATATGTATATGCATGCTTTAATAATGCGCATATATATATAATGTTCGAGTTTGTAAAAATAAATCAAGTGAACCGATCTAAATTATTATCAAAGTACACTACTTTATTAAGTAATGATAAAATGGATGTCTAGTTAACAATTATTTTGAATTTTGAAAATTTAAAATTTCGGAAGAATATAAAACATTTTTATACTTGAATCACTGCGCTAGATTTTGTAGTATAAAATATTTATATAAGATGCGTATATTTTTCTAAAAATGTTTTCTTTTTTTTGTTATCGTATTATTTTTAGAAAAGACTTAAATCTTACAAGTCCTGATAGGTATAAGAAAAATTGAATTTTTACTGTATATTGTTCTCAGTAATTTTAAATGAACTTTCAAACAAGCAAATAATAAGTATTTATTCAATCCCTAAAGAATTTTTTAGACACGAATTTCTCCCTTAAAATATGAAAATTGATTTTCTGTTTGCTTATTTTCTGATTGCTATTAGTACATCGGGCTTTTCATTACTCCGTACTTTAATTATTGTTATTATTATTATTTTTTTATCATGTTTTTTTGACAATTTGTTACAGTCATCAACAATAATTTGAAAATAAAATAAAATTTATGAAAAACAAAAAATGTTTTTAAATTAATAGTTGAACTCAAATCCCGGTTGAATTTAATTTATATAAATAATATTTGCTTTTCAGATTGTTTTTATATTCTTCTCCATAAGCACTGATTAGATTTAAACTGGGTTTTTACTGTTTTCACTTTATGATAGCTTTTTTATTGTTTTATTTTTCGATTTACACTCACAGTGAAACGTAAATAAACATTTTATTGACTTACGAAAAGGGGCCATAATARGAATTATTTATTTTCAAATAAGGTTTATGTACTGGCGAATTGTTTTTAAAACTTACACCAAATACCTATTACCTATAGTTCCTTCTGTCATTGACCTAATTCCAGGAGGCTGTAGCCGGAAAATTGAGTGGTACAGTAGGGTGACCATACGTCCCGTTTAAAATGGGATTGCYCCGTTTTTGATCATCATGTCCCGTTGTACCAACAAACATCAAACGGTACGTTTTTTGTCCCATTTTTAGAAGATGGTCTCGATTTAATCCCGTTATCTCTATATTATTACGATGAGTAAAACAAAAATGAATCAAAGAAATAAATACAAAAGTACAACAGTTTTTGTGGAACGAGTGTTGATTGTGATGAATTGTAATTTAAAAAATGATGAGTAATCAACATTAATCCAAAAAGAGTAAGAATTCTTTGATCAATTTTTCTAAGCTTACAGCAATAACTAATCCAAATAAGACGTGTTTTATTTAAATTGGTTTTTATTTTTAAAGAGTATTTAACTAAAACACTTTGTCCAGTTTTTTGTTTTTTATAAAAATAGTCACTCTATAGTATAGTATAKAATTATATTAGCGCCTATAAGGAAATGTTAAAAAAAATTCTAGGAAACCATTTGACCGCATTAAACATCTGAGTTTACATATTTTGTTTTTGTTTATTTTTCCTAATGAAAGTATACGGTCATACGGACACTTTAAACTTATACTATTCTCAAGGATAATTATATACTTAGGATATTTAGCTATTAGCTGAATACACCAAGCTCGGTAGTAGCTATAAATATTTAATCCATCTAACACAAATTTTGTATCTTGGTTGGATATATTGGTACATACAACTAAATATAACGTACATTACTACAGCCTCACCTGGGAATTAAGTACTAATAATTATTGGTGCAAAAAAGTCAGATTGGGGGAGGAGGAGGTGGGGTAATGTATCTATGTCAAAATATAACGATGCACCGATGACTTGCCCGTGAACAACAATGTTCAACGAGGAAAGTTCAGCCAGTTTTGAATCCTCTTCTGCAGGTGAATAAGCCACACTTGATTTTGGTGTTATTTTCAAGGCTGATTTCTCAAAAACAGGYAACCYCTCGGAGCAGTCAATCTTTCTCAGCAATTTCATGAATCACTTGCATTTAYTAATACGTAATCTAGTGCGGCGCAGCTGAAAATTGAATCGCATTTAGCACTGTATTTTAAATTGATTCATTTTTCCCTGAGAAAGTCAGGTAACACAGTCAGCATGATACTCGATACAAAGCTTAAATTATAATAGATTATGTGGCATATAAAAACCAAAATCAAAAATGAATAAATTACTTATTTTTGTGTAATCGTATATCAATATATCAATATATCTATAGTGTAAAAAGCAGGCCAAATTTTTCAAACGACTGCAATGAGTAAGTATCCAAATCGATCGAATTATTTACCAACGTGTTATACTTTAATAATATAATTTAAGTAATGAGTATTGACAGTATAGTATATTATWGTAATATTGTATTATGTATTTAGTCGACTGGCTTGTAGATTCTGGTGCAGGTGATTCCGTCAATAGTTAGAATCTAAAAATATACGAATCATAAATTAATTTAACACATTAACAAAATTCAGAYATCTAAATGGGCTAACGATCGACGTATAAATAGTATAATGTTGTTATATACCTACTAAAACACGTCAATTGTTACATTATATAGTGCGTGATCTAATAAGGTGCAGGTATACAATAGATATAACAGAATAAAACATGGCTAATTAAATAACTTCTATCCTAATCAATATACATWTTTTTTCATTTATATAATTTACAGGCGCTTGTGTTACATTACAG